GAACCTGCCACCTTAGGTGTACGTGGCTGGCGCCTTAGCCGGTTGAGCTATAGGCGCCGAGCCAACCTCAAACTCTTGGGCTTATGATTCTCTTGCCTCAGCCTCCCAAGTAGCTGGGACTACAGGTGCTTGCCACAACACTGGGCTGTTTTTTGGTTGCATTTGTCGTTGTTTGGCAGGCCCAGGCTGGATTCAAAATTGCTAGCTCCGGTGTATGTTGCTAGCCACTCTAGTTGCTGAGCCACAGGCGCTGAGCCGTAACTTCCCTTTTTGAAATACTAACTTATAGGCTCGGTGCCTGTGACTCAAGTAGCTAAGGTGCCAGCCACATACACCTGAGCTGGTGGGTTTGAATCTAGCCTGGGCCCACCAAACAACAATGAGGGCTACAACCAAAAAATAGTCGGACATTGTGGTGGGCACCTGTAGTCCCAGCTATTTGGGAGGCGGAGGAGGGAGAATAGCTTGAGCCCAGAGATTGGAGGTTGCTGTGAGATGTAATGCCACCACACTCTACCCAGGGTCACAGCTTGAGGCTCTGTAGTTCCCCCCCCCCCGAAAAAAAAAGAAATACTATCTTATAAAAATTTTCATTAACAGGTGATTCAGTCTGTATTTTTGCTCTGTTCTCATTTGAACACTAGTTTCATATTGTCTGCAGAAGAGTCTTATTAAAATGCCAACCCATAAACTTGCATATCTAATGTATAATAATAGGAATTATAAGCTTTAGATGTATAGAACAATTTGGTAAGTGTACCATTTGCTTTGATGACCTAGGTTTTGAAGTTTAAAGGCATTTCAGATAGAAAAGGGAGAACAAATGAGGTAGAATGAAAAATGTATGCTAAATTATGACCTGAGTCTGAATTATTATTGTTAATGACCACACAAGTTTCAAACCAGCTTCTGGTCTACCCCACCTCAGATTTAATCCAACTGCAATATTGCTGATAAAGTTATTTTCATAAAAACTGATCATATTTTTCTTCTTGAAAAAGGTAGTTTGATTCATGTTGCCGACATACAGACTTCATTTTGCTTGACATGGAAGCTCTTCCATTTCTTCCTATTTCTAGATTTCTTCAGCCGCACATCTTAACTTTTCACTGAAAATATAGGCTTTTACTGTTGTTCATTGTTCCCCATTCACAATTTTCCCTACCCTCAGCTTCCTCACAGGGACAAAATGAGTTCTCCTTTCCCATCTTCTCTCTCTGGCCAAGTCCTAAATACTATTTCAGATCCAACTTTCTTCTTCATTCTAACAGTATGACAGTCCAGACTATTCTAGTCCAGAAGGATCTCCTTGTCTTAGGAGTTTGGTTGTATTTGTTCATACAGGTATGCAGTCACACCATGTCCTATATGGTAAATCTATGAGTGGGTTGTCTCAGTTTCACCTGGAGGGAAGTAAGCTACTTTTCATACTTTGTGTCAGATTTGATGCTCCCTACAGAATCTTTAAAAATGTGTCCTACAAGTCAACATGTTCTTGTATTTGTAGACCTGAAAAATGTCTGAAAATTCCAGTGACAGTGATTCATCTTGTGGTTGGACTGTCATCAATCATGAGGTATGGTATTTAATACTTTTTATAAGGTAGTTTGTAATATTACAATGTTAGCAGTGATATAAACAGTGTTCTTTGAAGGCGAGTATTTTTCTACATTTAAGCAAACGTTTCTATTTAGACATTTTCACACCCACATCAAACTCCACTAGAGAATATTCTTCACAGGCTAGCATCTTCTGCATTATTGTACATAGCTTTCTCTTGCTTTGAGGCAAATATTTATTGAGGATTTATTACTATTTATTACAATTACTATGCTTTCCCTTCATCTTTTTTTTAATTAAAAAATTTTTTTTGGCGGGGGAGATGGATTCTTTCTTTGTCCTCAGCAGAGTGCTGTGGTGTCATAGCTCACAGCAATCTCAGACTCTTGGGCTCAAACGATTCTCTTGCCTCAGCCTTTAAAATAGCTAGGACTAAAGGCGCCTGCAACAACTCCTGACTATTTTGGAGATGGGATCTCTCTCTTGCTCAGGTTGATCTTGAACTCCTAAGCTCAGGCAATCTGCCAGACCCTTCATGTTTTTCTTTTTTTTTTAAAGAGATGGGGTGTCATTATTTTGTCTGGGCTGGATTGAGGTGATTATTCATAGGCATAGTCATAACCTCCCTGCAGGCTTAAGCTTTGGGCTCAAGTGATCCTTCCACCTCAGTCTTATTAGTACCTGGGACTGACTACAGGTTCCTGCCTTCACACCATAGTCTCGTGTAATTTTGAGCAACCTGCTGTGGCATAGATTGGTTTTATCCTCATCTTATAGTTGAGAAAAGTAAAACTTAGATTAAGTAATTTGGCCCAGATTACGCAACTAGAATATGTGCATAGTAGAGCCTGGACTTGAACAAACCAGAAAGGAGGATGGAGAACATGTGTTCCCCTTACGTTATGTTTATATTAGCAGAAGTTGACAGGAAAAGGGCTATGGTTAGAACCATCTCACAAAATGGGTTTTATAATAGAAAAATGATATATATCCAATGAATGTACATTGTACAAAATTGGCTTATTTTCTCATGCCAGTAATATATGTTTATTATAGAGAAATCATAGTATACTAATAAATAGAAACAAATAATGATCTTTATTCAAAGTTTTAATGGATTTAAATAGAAACAGTTTTCCTATTTGTTTTTAGGATCTCATAAGCCTCATTTGTTTTCTTTCATTAATATTTTAAATGGTATTTTTTTTTTTTTTTACAATTACCTTGATAATTTAAGATTTAGATAATTTGTTAGTCTTCTCTTTTGGAAACCAGTGTTAACAGAACACGATCTCTGTTTCTTCTGCTTTACAGTTTTAAAATTTAAAGGCAACTGTACCATTTGAAATTGAGGTGGTTGGTTTTTTTATTAATCATAAGTGACATTTCTCTTTTTAACTTGTTTTCTGCAAAGGTTAGATCAACTTCCATAGCAACTTCTCCTTTAAGGATAACTAACATTATAGGAATGAGGCTGCTGTGGGAATCTTAACTTGTGAGTTTGTAGTGTGCAGCAAGACCCTAAACTTGTTTGGCACTTAGCCAAGTGTGACAGGAGGGTGTTCTGTATTAGACATCTTGTCACAGAGGAAATTTGTACTCTTATCCCTCTTCCCGTACATCTAGTTTCCAAGTTCTGCTCTTGTTTGCTCATGTCTCTTACATGTGTTCCCTTTTCTTCTCCCATTGCTAGCATCCTGATTTAGGCTAGAACTGGTTTCCTCTGCCACCCCTAATACTTTCCTAATCTTGCTATAGTGTCTACCATTCTCCTGCCACAGGAGGCAAGCTCATAGTTTTATGTTTAGAATTTCTTTTAGGATTTATCTTCAAGGATACTCATTTCATGAATTCTTTTAGTTTTTGCTGTTTTGAGTTACATACAAGAGAAGAATTTAGAGCTTTTGATTTCACGTATCATCAAAATATAGGAGAAAAGGGAAGGGGGTCACAGGAAGAGGCAGAATCAACTTGGTGGTTAACTTTTATTTTGCCAATTAAGACACGAAGGGAGGGGAGGCGCCTGTAGCACAGTGTTGTGGCGCCAGCCACATACATCGAGGCTGATGGGTTCAAACCCACCCCAGGCTAAATAACAATGACAACTGCAATGAAAAAATAGCAGGGCATTGTGGTGGATGCCTATAGCCCTAGCTACTTGAGAGGTTGAGGCAAGAGAATTGCTTAAACCCAAGAGTTAGAGGTTGCCATGAGCTGTGACACCATGGCACTCTACTGAGGGTGACATAGTAAGACAGTCTCAAAAAAAACAAAAAAACAAAAAAACAAAAAACTACCCCTAAAACTGCCTATAGTCCCAGCTTCTCGGATGCAGAGACAGGAGGATCGCTTGAGTCCAGGAGTTCTAGGCTATAGTGTGCTATGCTGATCTGGTGTCTGCACTAAGTTGGGCATCAATATGGTGACCTGGGAGCAGGGGCCACCAGATTGTCTAAGGAGGGGTGAACCAGCCCAGGTTGGAAACAGAGCAGGTCAAAACTACCATGCTGATCAGTAGTGGGATCATGCTTGTGAATAGCCACTGCACTCCAGCCTGGGTAACATAGTGAGACCTTGTCTCTAAGAAAAAAAGAGAGAAAGAAAGACAAGAGGGGAAAAATGATAAAATCCACTATTTTTTTTTTTTTTTGAGTTTCACTATGTTACCATTGGTAGAGTGCTGTGGCATCACAGCTCACGGTAACCTCAAACTCTTGGACTTATGCAACTCCTGCTTCAGCCTCCCAAGTAGCTGGGACTATAGGCGCCTGCCACAATGCCCAGCTATTTTTTTGTTCCTGTTGCCATTGTTTAGCGGGCCCAGGCCAGGTTTGAACCTGCCAGCCCTAGTGTATGTGGCCAGTGCCCTAACCACTGTACCACTGGTGCTTAGCATCCACTATTTTCTCTCTCTCTCTTTTTTTTTTTTGTAGAGACAAAGTCTCACTTTATTGCCCTTGGTAGAGTGCTGTGGTGTCACAGCTCACAGCAACCTCCAGCTCTTGGGCTTAGGCAATTCTCTTGCCTCAGCCTCCCAAGTAGCTGGGACTACAGGCACCTGCCACAGCGCCTGGCTATTTTTTGGTTGCAGTTCAGCCAGGGCTGGGTTTGAACCTGCCACCCTCCGTATATTGGGCCAGTGCCCTACTCACTGAGCTGGGGCACCACCTGAATCTACTATTTTCTTAAAGAAAGGACAGTTTGACATCAAAGTAGGAATGATAACCTTAGAATAAAAAAATATTCTAATATTTTGTTTATTTTTGTGAGACAGAATTTCACTTTGTTTCCCTTGGTAGAGTGCTGTGGTGTCATAGCTCACAGCAACCTCAAACTCGTGGGCTCAAGTGATTCTCTTGCCTCAGCCCTCCAAGTAGTGGGGACTATAGGTGCCCGCCACAATGCCTGGCTATTTTTCAAGTCGAGGTCTCACTCTGGCTCAGACTGGTTTTGAACCTGTGAGCTCAGGCAGTCCACCTACCTTAGCCTCCCTGTGTGCTAGGATTACAGGCATGAGCCACTGCACTCAGTCTCATTCTAAAAATTTATAAAGAAGGTATTCATTAACCCACTACTTTTGTTTAATCCACACCCTTTTTTTTTTTTTTGAGACAGAGCCTCAAGCTGTCCCCCTAGGTAGAGTGCTGTGGCATCACAGCTCACAGCAACCTTCAACTCCTGGGCTCAATGAGTCTCCTACCTCCGCCTCCCAAGTAGCTGGGACCACAGGCGCCTGCCACAGCACCTGGCTATTTTTTGGTTGCAGCCGTCATTGTTGTTTTGGCGGGCCGGGGTCGATTTGAACCCACCACCTTAGGTATATGTGGCTGGCGCCTTAGCCACTTGAGCCACAGGCACTGAGCCTAATCCACACCCTTAAACATTTTTAGTTTACCTTGTTGTCAGAAGTAGTTATTTGCATATGGCTGTTACTCTGAATATGTTGTAAATTTGAATTTTGGATTTGAATTTTTTTTTTTTTAACAGAGTCTTGCTTTGTTGCCCTCCCTTGGTAGAGTGCTGTGGTGTCACAGCTCACAGCAACCTTCAACTCTTGGGCCTAACTGATTCTCCTGCATCAGCCTCCCGAGTAGCTGGGACTACGGGTGCCCGTCACAATGCCTGGCTATTTTTTTGTTGCAGTTTGGCTGGGGCTGGGTCTCGGCTCCCTACTCACTGACCCACAGGGGCTGCCCTGGTTTTGAATTTTTTATACCCTGGAATGTCTAGCATAGTTTATCTAGAGTAATTCCAAAAATGTTAACTGAAGTAAATTACCATGAAAACAGCTAAGTGTAGGGCGGCGCCTGTGGCTCACTGAGTAGGGCACCAGCCCCATATACCTAGGGTGGTAGGTTCAAACCCGGCCCAGCCAAACTGCAACAAACAAATAGTGGGGTGTGGGCAGGGCCTGTGGCTCAAAGGAATAGGGCGCCGGCCTCATATACCCGAGGTGGCGGGTTCAAACCCAGGCCTGGCCAAAAACTGCAGGAAAAATAAAAACAAAAAACAGCCGGGTGTTGTGGCAGGTGACTGTAGTTCAGCTACTTGGGAGGCTGAGGCAAGAGAATTGCTTAAGCCTAGGAGTTGGAGGTTGCTGTGAGCTGTGACGCCACATCACTCCACCAATGGCAACAAAGTGAGACTCTGGCTTTAAAAACAAAACAAAACAAACCCAAAAAAACAGCTAAGTGTAGACCGTTGCCCCCTGGGGTTCATATTTGTTGCTTGGGCTTGTGAAATAGAACATTCCACTCTTAGACCAACTCAGCTTAGAATCAAAACCTGTTACTCAATTCTGCTCTTTCTCTGCCACCAATCTTTGTGGACTAAATTGAGCAAAAGCTTGTCAGATTAGATACTTGTTTTCTGGAGTATAGTAGCATCTGGGAGTTTTTTTTTTTTTTTTTTTTTTTTTTTGAGACAGTGTCTCGCTTTGTCATCCTTGGTAGAATGCTATGGCATAGCCCACAGCAACCTCCAAATCTTGGGCTCAAGTGATTCTTTTGCCTCAGCTTCCCAAGTATCTGGGACTACTGATGCTCACAGTGCCTGGCTATATTTTTAGAGACAGGGTCTTGCTCTTGCTCAGGCTGGTCTCGAACGTGTGAGGTCAGGGCAATCCACCTGCCTCAGCCTCCCAAAGTGAGCATCTGGTATCTTTAATAATGGAAACATCTAAATATAGTCAAATCCAGTTTTGAGGAGCTAAAAGGCAAACAACTGAATGATTATCAATTTATTTTCTTTAGGGGTCTGATGTAGAGATGGTGAATTCTGTCACAGCCAGTGACAGTTGTGAAGTTACCCCAGAAGGTTCATCGTTAGAGCAAGAAGAACTACAGGTATTGCAGATAGAGCAGCGAGGTAAGTTTAAAAATTCTGATACACACACACACACACACACACACACATATATATATATATCTTTTTTTTTTTTTGGAGACAGTCTTACTATGTTGCCCTCTGTAGAGTGCTGTAGTGTGAGCTCACAGCAACCTCAAACTGTTGGACTCAGGCGATTCTCTTGCCTCAGCCTCACAAGTTGCTGGGACTATAGGCACCCACCATAATGCCTGGCTACTTTTTTGTTGTTGTTGCAGTTGTTTATCTGGCCTGGCCTGGGTTCAATGAACTCGCCACCTTTGGTGTAACACCTCTGTGTTATGGGTGCCAAGCCATATTTTTTTTTAATAGGAAATGTGAGTGCCGTTATGAATTTTGTCTTCTTTCCAGGTGGATTATCTTTCTGGCTAACCTAAGTGATCAACTCACTGAAGAACCAGAAGAACTTTAGTGTAGATTTATTTATTTGTTTATTTTTTCTTTTGAGACAGAGTCTCACTCAGTTGCCCTGAGGTTGATTTGTTGTGGCGTGATAGTTCAAAGCAACCTCAAACAGTTGGGCTCAAGCGATCTTGCTTATCAGCCTTCCAAGTAGCTGGGACTACTGACATCCACCACATGCCTGGCTATTTTTTATTTTTTTAGAGATGGGGTCTTGCTCTTGCTTAGTCTGGTTTTGAACTCCTGAGCTCAAGCAATCTGCTGGCCTCAGCCTCCCAGAGTGCTAGGGTTAGAAGCGTGAAGACGTTTAGTGTGGATTTAGGAAAGGCCTGTGGAACCCACTGTCACCTGTCTACCCCAGGGGTTTGTTTACTTGCATCTGTAGTGTATGTTTGAGCCTTCAGATATGTTTGATAGAACAGATGTCACCAGAGTTTAACATGAGTTTGTTTGGCAGCTTAAGATAAAATTTACTTTTTTTGAGACAGTCTCAAGCTGTTGCCCTCAGTAGAATGCCATAGCATCACAGCTCACAGCAACCTCCAACTCCTGGGCTTAAGCGATTCTCTTGCCTCAGCCTCCCAAGTAGCTGGGACTTCCAGGGCCTGCCACAATGTTCAGCTATTTTTCTTTTTTTTTTTTTGTAGTTGTCATTGTTTAGCAGGCCCTCACCAGGTTTGAACCCACCAGCATGGGTGTATGTGGCCGGTGCTCTAACCACTGAGTCATGGGTGCTGAGCCAACAAAGGAAAAGTTCTTGAAGGAAATTAAAAGTACTACTCCAGTGAACGTGCAAATGATTAATCAAAACAGCTTTATTGCTGATAAGGAAAAAGTTTTAGTGATCTTAGTAGAAGATCAAATCAACCACACATCCCCTTAAATCAAAATATAAACCAGAACAGGGCCCTCTCTCAGTTCTGTAAAGGGTGAGAACTGACTAGTTTGAGGCTAATGCAGTTGGTAACTTTAAGTTGAAGCCAGTGATCATTTAGTGTTCTGAAAATTCAAGGGCCCTTGAGAATTACACTGAATTGGCTAGGTGTGGTGCATCACACCTATAATATTAGCACTTTAGAAGGCCAAGGTTTGAGGATTGCTTGACACTAGGATTTCAAGTGTAGCCTGGTCAACATCAATTACCTGATGTATATGAAAAAATGAAAAAATTAACTGGGCGTGGTGGCTACCACCTGTAGTCTCATTGACCTGAGAGTCCACAGTATGAGGATCACTTGAGCCCAGGAGTTTGAGGTTATAGTGAGTTATGATCAGGCCACTGGACTCCAGTCTGGGTAACAGAGCAATACCCTGT